TAATTAAGTAAACTGGGAGTCACCAGTAATTTTTTTAAAGTGATAGAATTCTGACCAACTTAGAAGGGTAACCAAAACCGCAGCACCGATGTCGCGTGCAATCGACAAACTCCAGGAGACGTACCCCAAATGAACCGTTTATATGAACGATTGCAGTGGCATTACTTCTGCATATTATTTATCAACTTCCGTTGGCGACGTGTGTTGTCACGGCAAGCGTAGCCTTCAGAGCCTAGAAATGAGGTAGCTCGATGTTTGATAGAAGGTCACTCTCTCATTTTGGCAACTTCGTCTATCGGCAATTTGGTTTCCGTTTCATTGGAAAGATAGAATGGATTTCAAAGGTGTCTCATCTTGTTTTAGACACAATTGCTTATTTTCGTGACTACATTCTATTGAAGCTACATCAAGGAGGTAGAAACTAGCAGGTTTTTGCAGATGCACTCGGAAAGCAGGAAAAATCGAAGGTGCACTGCCAGGCCACAGTCTGGTTGTCTGCCCCATTCTTTCGTAGCAGCATTCTTCGAAGTGAACAGAACAGAGGTGGTCACCGTCTGTAGTCCTCCAACTATTTCTTCGAACAGCACGTCCCCTGCCAGAACGCAGCGCACTGTCTTTCGTAAACCTGTAACACGGATAATCACGGTATGGAATTATTCTCTGCATTTGCGAATTGCTCGATAAACATGCACCGAATTCAATATTCTTTCGCCAAAAAAATGTGCATGCAGGTCATCAGTCTTGCCTTGTAAGACAACACCAGAAAACTTGGAATTCGAAGGGCATTCAGACGTTCTACTCGTTCCAATGTTTGATGCGTGCAGGCATAGACTGCAAGTGCTTCGTCCATAAAATTAAAACTCATGGACAACGTCGTGTCAGCAAGCATTTAAAGCTTCAAGTTACCTTCCATATAGCTATACGCATGTATTACACGCATGCACACCTTTCACGTTGTTTCTAATTTAACAGCATATGCGAAAAAACAAGCGATCATCAGTGAACGAAGCGAGAATATGTACACGTGAAGTGTGATCCCAGGCGTCTTCTTGATGCGATTTGTGCAGCTATAAGCGACGCACGAAGTCACGATGGCTTTGTGAAATCTTCAACTGCTTTACAAAAGAATGTCACAGTTTCTGAAGGCTACTGCGAGGGCGGAGCTACAAAGCGCACTTTGTGGTCTGCTTCCGAGTCTTTCCTCTTCCAATATGGCGGCGACCGGCGTCAATTATCGGGGCGCACCTCCACTCCAGAAGACATAGTACAGAACCTTTTTGGGAGTAACAAACAAACAGCTAGAGAGCTCTTGGAAACTTTTTTTTTTATCAAAAAGAATGGGCCCGGTTGTATCAATGATACATCTATTATGTTATATTCCACAGAAATGCAGTTTTTAGATAACTCATTGCCTTCAACATGACGCTGTACAATGTTTGTTGGCTGTGCACGCATGCCTGGAATTGTCTTCTTTTCCTGTGAATTTCTTAGACTGTCATTAAAACAGTTGTTAGTTGCGGCTGTTTTTTCTTCTCTTCTGCTCTTCCTGTTTCACAAAATGTTTTTGCGCCTCAGTCATCTGCATCATGTTTGAAGGTTGTTTCAAGGCCTCTGATTGGCTATGGCCGCCATGTTGCCCCAGCTCGCCTCGCCATTGGCCCAATGCTTGCTCCGGGAGATTGTCGACTGCTGCCTGTGCATCGCGAAGATATGGCTATCAAAAATCGCTGCTGCTTGACATGCTCACGACAGGACGATTACTTAGGATATAATAATTACGCTTTAGGAACTGTAAGCGGATGATCGATCAGATTATGAGTGGGCTGCGGTCTGCAAGTGTGGCGCGTCACTAGAGTTGTCTTCAGGCCTAACTGTGCTGACGGCGAGACAAACTTAGCGGGCGAGAACGCAAATAAATTTTTCTAAATGGACGACTTCTTTTTAATACTGCCCTAAATTTGGTCTTTTGTAGTAAAAACATAGCTTATCCCTCCATCAGAAGAATCGGTAAAACATGAAAGTAAAATGTGTCCTTAGAGAAGTAATATAATGTTTACTATTCAATTATATAAGAGGGCTTGTGCAATGTCTATTGGTGTTTAACAGGTATAGCACTGCTTAACCTAGATGCATTCACGTTGTCCTTAGTCATAGATCTTCTTCTCAACAACTAACATTCATCATTAATGATTCAACAAACCCTTGTGGTCGTAGATGGTTGGGGTAGCTTTTGTAGTTAAGGGTGACAGCGGAACTGGAGAAAACGACGTGACAGCCAGAAGAGCATGACTGGTGAATGACAAACTTGGTCGAAGGTCGTCTACTCACAGCATGTTGAGTTAAATACCACTGCCTAAGAAATGAAAAATGCAACACACGTTCTGTCTTCTCTATGGCGGGCCACGATTGTTCGCGGGGCGAGCGTGAGTGAGGAGCGTGGAGTTAAAGCTAGATGAAGCCGGTGGGCGTCATATAACTGTATAAGATGCTATCAGCCATGCCGATGCCTTGGGTAAGGTTGCCACCTGCTGGTGTGTTAAGGCATTGAAAAAATTGCAGTTCTGTTGAAAATGTGCCGGATGGGACGGACGCTTAGAAGCGACGCAATGAAAGAACTAATGGCAGGTACCGGGGTCATGATGCATTACTGCTCTTTACAAAGAACACTGTGAGAAGACAATGGTAGATACAAAAGGCGTATTTTTTAACTCATAAGAAGTATACGAAGTAGACGACTATAGGGGAGACCCCCTCAAGTTTGCCCGGCGACGCCAGCGCTTGCCTTTCCCCTGCCAGAAAAAGTGCACAACAGTAGAGCCTTCCGACCCTTCCACTCCCTTTGGCTTCCACGCATTTGCGAAGCACGCGCTGCACGTGAAACGTCCCTCGTTCCGCGATGTCACCCCAACAGAAAAGGGGGTGACATCGCTGCGTCGTCAACTGTCACAATAACCATGCAAACACGAAGAGGTCGACTCCACCAGTGAAATTCTACCGATTCCCAAACCGATGGTACGAAACAAGCAGACGACAGAAATGGATTAAAGCAGTGCGCCGAAAAAAGTATGTAAACAATTTTTTTTTTCATAAACATTAGCACGCGCACAATACATTCAAAATTACGTGTGTTAATTCCAGCGTCACCATTTCCCTAATCTATCGAGTTACTGGGAGATGCACGTCCCCATCTTAAATGTATAGATTTTCAACGCCCGTCCTTAGAGCAATGTTAAAAAATAGTGAATAAATATTTTATGCTGCTACTATTATTCGATATTGTTGGGGACGTAGTAGTTGAAGCTGTGTGCACATGTGGTATTGGTAATGTGTTGTTATATATTTTTAAATCTACGTAGCGCCGACGGAAGTGTGTGGTTGCCAAAAGCTTGGACAACTATGAAAAAAAGAAAAAAATGCATTAGCCACTGTTGCACGTCTATTGGCAGATACAGTGAACTAGTTGTTACTGAGTGTGCAGGGGCAGCCCAAACAACACGGTGCATTTTTGATACGTGACCAAGATAAAATGCTTTTATAGCAATGCGCTCTTCCCCTGCAGATTAGACAAACACAAAAAAGTTTCTCTGAAAGCTGGGTGCTCATCATGATGGTACGCACGCTGTTCGTGAACTCAAGGTACCCGCGATGAGAACGGCGATAATGCAAGGAAAGACACGCGAGATAGATGTCAATTATTGTTGTGGGTCAGAAAGAAGCCCCAAATAGACCATTTATTTTTGAAGTGTTGTGTATACACCGCACGATAACTTGGGTAGGGGCTAGTAAATTAAGGTATCCCAACTAATAGCAGTCACAGCGCAAGAACCGCTTAACCTAAAGCACGAGAAGCGGCCTTACCCATCCATCCAGGAACAAACATAGTGCATAGTACACAGAGTAAACCAAATAAAACAAGTATATAATAATGAACGTACAGAAAGTTTTATTCACCTCTAACGTCATAAACAGCGTCGTCTTTCACTTGCGAAACGCACTTCGCTCTGACGAGGACGGCGTCGTCTGCTACAACTTGTTTCGCTGCCCTTTTACTAAATTGCTGCCACGAAAAAAAATCCTCAATTGCGGCATCCTAATAAATGCGGACAGAGTGCACCGCACCTGACGCGAAACTCTCAAAAACACGTGCAGAACGCGTGCAAGACGCGAGCAAAGAAACGCGTTTTCAAGGCAGGCTGAATGGGACAGCGGAGGGGCGAAGACTCGAGTAACCAGTTTTCTTCCCGCATTGACTAACAGTGCCACGCTCCGCAGTGCCTCCCTCGGTGTGGGTCTCCCCTATGGCATAGTAAACGGCATACTCGGCATCTGCTGTCCCAGACTTAAGGGTCATTGGTTCGAAACCCATTAACAGAACTTTTTTTACGATGTCACTTCCATGAGTTAAATGCGTCACTTAAATCTTAGTGGGCCCTAGCGTAAAACACTTTCGAGTTAAAAATAGTTGTTTCGTTCCCTGTAACTAGCTCCAAGTTTGTATTTTTGTGCTCTAAAATTTAACATTTTGCTGCTCAAAAAATTGCTCCAAATTCTTTTTTGGCTGTTCCACTTCTGCATAAATTGACATATCAGTCTCTTCCGGTGCTGAAAAAAACAGAAGACTTTTTGCAGCTCATTGCGGCATTGACGAGCTGAGAGCCACAATGAATTTCTGTGCGACAAAAAGTTATCGCAGCTGTCAATTCTTGCATTCGCAGCTTCTTCATTCGAAGGCATTGCTTCAAAGTGTTAGAAATGTCAGAAGTTCACATGCAGTGCTCATCGATTTCGGATTGTCTGGTTGCAAGCAACCGTGGTGTAGCGTGCGATCGGGCGCCTCTTTCCGTTTTAGAAGGCCTGTTCTAACTTTTTTTCACTTAGTATGGGTCATACTTTTATTGCAACTGTGTCTGAAGTGTTCGAACCTCACTACCATAATCTAATAAGCCTGAAGTGAAAAATGTGGCAGAAAGAGATTGTGTGTTCCACCTGTTTTCTTGCAGAAGGCTTGTCCAAATATACAGCCTATGAACGTGTGACCCTGAAGCACCGTGAGTATATTCATTGTCATCACTCAGTCTCTCTTGTGTGTCATGATTGTAATCTAACATCAACTCATGTTGTCCTGTTCAAATGGTTGTACAAGGTGCAAGAAAGACATGAGCAAGATTTATTTTTAAAAAATATTTTTATGCAGCACTCAATCTAATCATTACAAATAAGATTAGTGTTATGCATTGCGATTGCTGAGAGAATGCACTGGATGTTTTGAATGCATAACTTGCAATTTACGTCAATGCGCCATTAGCAAGCATCAACGAGCACATGCGCCTCACTAACCACTCCATGTTTATGTTCGTGCTGTGCATAGTTTGCCATGGCGATCGTTTGTCCTGCACTTATGACAAAGGTGAACCATACAGGCCATCATGCAGACAGCAGGGGTGAGACAGCTGCGCATAATGTGCATTTTTGATACATTTCCTGTTTCTTGCGTCAAGCTGCTCCAAAAGCATAAAAATCGCAAAAGTGTCGAACTGCTCTAATACAGCCTCAAAAGCTAGAATTTTGATACCAACCACACCTTCAGCGGGGAAAAAAGGTGGAGTTAACTATTCAAATGTGCCCACTCGCTCTTCTTTTTTTACTTTGCACCACTCTGGTGTCAAAGGCTCCCAGGCATGATGCCACTGTAATCTCCTCTAGAATGCTCTAAATATTGCCACGTTCCATTTCCTAAGTTTTGTTATCGTCCCAAAACACCACACAATTCTCAGCGCAAACCGCGCCTGCAGTTTTCGAGAAGCTTCCGGACTGTAGTAGATCATTTCGATAAGATCACGCCTACTCTGCGAACTGTACAGATTATTCTGGAATCTATGCCACCGCCAGCGATAACGCTAGAACATTCGACGGCAAGAGTATAAATGCCGACGCGCTTCCCCGCTTGTCAGTAGTTGATCGACGGCCGACGCTCCGTTCACTGCTATCTGTGCAAGGCTGCTACTGTAATCAAACTTTCCGTTTACCGGGCACAGGTTCGCCCAAATAAACAGCTAAATCCCAACATAAAGTCTCCCGTCTTCGGCCACGTCACGACTCCGTGACATCTGGTGGAGGTGCTGCTTCGATCATGTACTGGACGCCCCCGTCAAGCCGTGAACCCAGCCCTCGTCGCGGAGAAAACACCGACGCCAACCAGGAGCAGCGAACAAGCCGCCGACAGCAAGGGCTACCACCGGAGTACGGGCTTCTACAAGACAAGGCGCGGAAGACCAAGGCCATGACTGCGACTGCAGCTTCAATGACAATGGCAGCGTCCCAGCCCACGATGGTCATGCATCAAACCAGGGAACCACCAATTTTCCATGGGTCATCATTCGAAGACCCGGAGTCCTGGCTAGAAACATACGACCGTGTGGCCGCCCTCAACTACTGGGACCATGACGAAAAACTCCATCGTGTGTTCTTCTATTTGGAAGACACCGCAAGGACCTGGCTCGAAAATCGGGAGTCCACGCTCCGAACGTGGGATGTTTTCTGCGGCGCATTCCTGCAAACGTTCGCGAGCATCGCTCGCAAAGAGAGGGCCGCTGCTTTATTAGAGACCCGGGTTCAGCAACCAAATGAAAATGTCGCCATTTTCACAAAAGAAATGACCCGACTATTCCGTCACGCTGACCCAGACATGCCTGAGGAGAAAAAAGTTTGTTTCCTCATGCGAGGGGTCAAACAGAAGCTCTTCGCGGGACTGATGAGAAATCCACCGAACACCGTCCAAGAATTTGTAGCTGAGGCAACGACTATCCAAAAGACCCTGGACATGCGCACCAGACAGTATAATCGTCGCCTGACTCCAGAATGCGCTGCTACTCAAGCCAGTAGCTCCGAAGACCTGCGTAAAACGATCCGAGCGATCGTGCGGGGTGAGCTGTACAAGCTGATGCCTTCGGCGCATCCTCAAGTGGATTCGATCTCGGACATTGTGCGAGAAGAAGTTCGCCAATCGCTTTGAATTCCCCAAGCACCGCTGCCCGAGCCGGAAGCTATGAGCTACGCCGCTGCAGTGCGCCACAACGCTCCTCCCCCTCCACGCCAAAGTGCCGCCGCATCGCACTTCTGTCGACAGACGCCACCGTTGCCACCACCCCCACCGACGTCATATAGTTCGCCAGCGGCCCAGCACAGTGCACCGAGAAAGACTGACGTCTGGCGCACCCCTGACCACCGCCCGCTCTGCTACCACTGCGGCGAGGCCGGACACACATACCGCCATTGCCAGTACCGACAGATGGGACTGCGTGGCTTCGCCGTCAATGCACCGCGTCCACAGCCAGGAGAACGACGAAGTGACATCGCCAACTACCTGACAGGAACTCAGTGGAAACCACGAAGCCCTTCGCCTTTGCCGTCGCCCAGCCGCCGCACGTCACCGCACCACCGACAGTACTCTGGCCCAACGCGGGGCCGGTCTCTTAGCCTGTATCCGGGAAACTAAGGGCAGCAACCGATGGAGGTGCTGTTGCTGTGCGACGAACTACCAAAGATCCTCCTCCGTCGACGACGACGCGGCGGAGCTTTTCGAACACAACGCCAACCAGGCAAAGCCCTGACAGCGAAAGCTCACTTACAGAAGGTGACCTGACGACGCAACATGGAAGCAGCGAAACGAGCCAACGCAGCCGTGACCCGACGCCCCGCCCTAACTGTAATGCGAGAAGGCGAACTAGCGACCTCGACGTTCTTATCGACGGCCACAGTGTGACCGCTCTTGTCGATACTGGAGCCGACTACTCCGTCATCAGTGGGTCGTTCGCCGCGAAGTTAAAGAAAGTTAAGACAGCTTGGGAAGGCCCTGAAATCCGCACAGCCGGAATTCATCTCGTAACGCCTGCAGGAATCTGCACGGCAAGAGTCACCATTAACGGCCGTATTTATCCTACAGACTTCGTAGTCCTACAGCGTTGCTTGAGAGATGTCATCCTTGGCATGGACTTCTTATGCCTCCATGGTGCTGTCATCAACCTAAAAACAAAGTCGATAACGTTATCCACAAAAGAAGCACTACCGCTGCGCACGCCATCAGGAAATCATGCCTTGAATGTGCTGGAAGAACAAGTCACCATTCCGCCTCGCTCAAGCGTCATTATTTCAGTCGGCGCTCCTAAATCACCTGACTTAGAAGGCGTCGTTAAAGGCAGTCAGCATCTGTTGGTCACAGGAAATATTTGCGTCGCAAGAGGAATTGCAGAGCTGCGGGGAGGCAAAGCAATGGTTATGCTCACGAATTTCAGCAATGAGTGCAAACATGTGAACAAAGGAACAATGGTCGCATACATCGAAGAAATTGTCTACGCCACCAGTGCTTTCGCCCTCGCCGATTCGGCGGAACCTGCTCAGAGAAACCAAGCCCCTCCCATAGCTTTCGATGTCAATCCCAGACTTCTGAACCATGAGCAAGAACAGCTCAAGGTCCTGCTCCTGCAATACGAAGATTGCTTTTCATCGTCATCAAAAATTCAGCAGACCCCAATCACGAAACATCGCATCATAACCGAAGAAAATGCCAGACCACTCCGTCAGAATCCATACAGGGTTTCGACGCGAGAACGTGAGGCTATGAAGAGACAAGTTGATGAAATGCTGCGGAATGACATTATCCAGCCGTCCAAGAGTCCAGGGGCATCCCCCGTGGTGTTAGTGAAGAAAAAGGATGGGACCTTACGTTTCTGCGTCGATTATCGCCGCCTGAACAAAATCACAAGAAAGGACGTGTATCCTCTCCCACGAATAGACGACGCACTTGATCGGCTCCATAACGCCAAGTACTTTTCGTCAATGGACCTTAAGACTGGCTATTGGCAAATCGAAGTCGACGAAAGAGACCGAGAGAAAACGGCGTTTATAACACCGGACGGCTTCTTCGAGTTTAAGGTGATGCCCTTCGATCTTTGCTTAGCGCCGGCAACTTTTCAACGCGTTATGGATACAGTACTGGCAGGATTGAAGTGGAAGACTTGCCTTGTGTACTTGGACGTTGTCGTCGTGTTTTCCTCGAGTTTCGACGAGCATCTTCAGCGCCTTGAAGCTTTACTTCAAGCCATCAAGACTTCCGGACTCACACTGAAGCCAGAAAAGTGCAGATTTGCGTACGAGGAGCTCTTGTTTCTGGGGCACATTATTAGCAAGTCTAGAGTTCGTCCCGATCCACGGAAAACAGCCACCATCGCCGACTTCCCGCCGCCCACTGACAAGAAGGCGGTGCGCCGATTTCTGGGCCTGTGCGCCTATTATAGGCGGTTCGTGAAAAACTTCGCCCGCATCGCCGATCCTCTCACTAACTTTTCCAAGGCCGACGTGGAGTTCGAGTGGGAAACGCCGGAGAAACGCACTTTCCAGGAGCTTAAACATCGCCTTCAGACGCCTCCGTTACTTGCCCATTTCGACGGAATTCGCCGAGGTAGAAATACACACTGATGCAAGCAGCGCAGGTCTTGGCGCCGTTCTTGTGCAGAGGGTTGACAGACTTGAAAGGGTTATTAGTTACGCCAGCCGATCGCTATCCAAAACAGAAGCCAATTATTTCACAACAGAAAAGGAGTGCCTCGCCATCATCTGGGCTACGTCGAAATTTCGCCCCTACCTTTTCGGCAGGTCCTTCAAAGTTGTGAGCGACCACCACGCCTTGTGTTGGCTAGCCACCTTGAAGGACCCTTCAGGTCGCCTCGGACGATGGAGCCTGAGACTTCAAGAATGTGACATTACTGTCATTTACAAGTCCGGCAAGAAGCACTCCGACGCCGACTGTCTCTTTCGTGCGCCTGTCGACCAACCACCACCCGACGACCCGGGTGACGACTACTTCTTGGGAACGATAACTACCGACGACTTCGCTGAACGACAGCGGGCCGACCCGGAACTTAAGGCCCTAATAGAATACCTCGAAGGCAGGACCGCCGAAGTCCCGAAAGTAATCAAGCGTGCACTTGCGTTGTTCTTCCTGTGAAACGGTCTTCTACAAAAGAAAAAACTTTTCACCGCTTCGAGCTAA